TAAAAACAGAAATGATTTAAATTGATATTTAATAAATAAAATAATTAAAAAAATGAGAGGAAATTCTAATAAACTAAGGCACAAAATTTAAAAATAATTATTTAAGAAAGCAATAAATAGTAACCAATAATTCAGAATAATTATTTCAAATTAATTAACTTTTTTTAAAAGTAATAATTAATAATAAATTCATTTAATTAAGTAATGAGTAATAATAATAATTAATAAATTCAAAAACTGGTTCAAAATAATTTATTTAATTACTTTAGTAACAAAGAATTCATTTAATTGGATTTTTAATAAATAATAATTAGTTATTAGTATATTGTTAATTAATTAATTAATTACCTGATAAAAATAAATTAGGGGAAAAAATCAATTTACTTATGGTATGTACAAATTTGAAAAGTAATTAATAATTAATAAGTAATAAAATAATTCTTACAAAATTTAGTGTAATTAAAAAAAATAATTATGAATATTATTTAAAGAAAATAAAACTTTAATTTTCTTCATCAAATATTATTTTCATATTTAATTATGCACTTAATTAAACACCACTTTCACACACTTCATGAAACCCCATTTTTTCTACTTTCAAACATATTTCTCTATTTTAATTTTAAAAATGTAAAATTTCACTGACCTTTGGCGATGGCACCACTGAAAATGTATTCATTATCCTGTCGGGGTACTCTTCGCGTATTTTGGAAATCAGCAGTGTACCCAGACCGGAGCCGGTGCCGCCACCGAGAGAATGTGCCAATTGGAAGCCTTGCAGGCAATCGCAACCCTCGGACTCTTTGCGCAGCACATCCAACACAGAGTCAATTAGCTCGGCGCCCTCTGTGTAATGACCTTTAGCCCAGTTATTACCTGGAATTCCAAAATTTATTAAAGAATAAATCACATGAACCAAACTGTCCTGCTATCTTTAGTAATTCATAATTTCACTTAGTGTAGATTTTACTCACCCGCACCGGACTGGCCGAACACGAAGTTATCTGGCCTGAATAGCATACCCATTGGCGATTGGCGAACAGCATCCATTGTGCCTGGCTCCAAATCGATGAGTACAGCGCGTGGTACATATTTACCACTGCTGGCCTCATTGTAGTACACATCGATGCGTTCCAATTGCAAATCGTTCTCACCAACGTACATGCCATTCGGGTCGATGCCATGCTCATCGGAGATGATTTCCCAGAACTAAAATTAAAAGAAAAAAAAAATTAAAATTAAAAATTAACTCAAGAAAATAAATAAAATTTTTTAAAAGTAATGGTAAAATAAAATACAGAATAATTATTATTTAACATTTTTTTATAAGAATAAAAATAATACAAAAGAAATAAAATTTCAGGTGCTGTATAATATTTCATTTTTATTTTAAAGTAGCTTAATATTTTCTCAAAAAATTTTCTATAATTATTACAAAATTATTCGTTAGTTTGCTTTGTTGTTTGTGAGTTCACAACGCGTTTCACGACATTGTTGCATACTTCGTGGCGCAAAATAATCATTTCATGCTTTAACAAATAAATAAAAATCTGCCAGCTACAAGTGCACATACATTGCAAATTATATAAAATTCTTTGTAAATGAAGAAAAAACTCACACTACTGAATATTCAATACATGAAAATGCAAATATTTTTGATGGCGCGTGAAAATCGTTGAAATAATGCTTGTAAAAAGCAGCATGTAAATACAGTCATGGTCAGTACATTAGAATTGTTTACATAGGAACTCAATCTGAAACTTAGCGACAAGAATGCAATTTAGCGGGAGGCCTTAGTCGAATAGGCTATCTGAGAGTTTTGACTTATGGCTCAAGCAGCTCACGACTTATACCAAGTAAAGCAAAAATCATCCATTTGAATTCGAGCTAAAGTGAAAGAGCGAATTATTCCTCCCCAGGCTTCTGGGCTGGGTTTAAGACCAGGCACGTAATAAACACCACAAATAGAAGGATCAAAGCAGCCTCGGAGAAGAGGCAAAGCCCATTTTTAAGAAAATTTTCGTACAATATAACTATAACTAATTGATTTTAATAAAATTTTCTTCAAGATATTTACATGATGTCGTCTTAAAACTGCTTAAAGATAAAAAAAATCGGAGTACAAACACGTCTATTTCTTTTATATTATTAGTTTGAATCCGTCCAACTTAAAGAAGCTAAGTTTGCAATGTATAATGTCAAAATCCAAAAAATTTTCCAATCTGACCAAACTTTCTTTATACTGATATACAGAATATGAGAACTTCTATGCTTAATATTGATTTTATGCCTGAAATATCGGTGAATTTTTGAGGAACATTAATGATACTAAGTCGGCATTTTTACCGATAATAATGTGGTATTGTGTTAAAAATTGGTGAAAGCAGTTCAGTACTTCTCCTGACTATCATAATTTATATCGGCACCCATATCTCCTTCTTTACTGTTTAATGTGAAAAATAAATAAGATTAGTCCAGACCTTTCCCTTTGCTCAAATATGCCTAATAAAGTGATTTTCGACTTTCCAATACAATACAATAGGAAACAATTGTAATATAATATAAACTAGTCATTGTAGGGAATTTTTATTAAACGAAAATTGGCAACGGTGCAAATTCCGAAGAAATTGTTCCCATCGCACAACTACATACAAACTGAAGGATAAAACTAAAATTCTTGTAGACAATCATTTGTATTTGTGATTGGCATCATAGCTTCGTTGCAAACGAAGTTAACATTTTTCCTCACTGAAAGTTATCTTTCTCCCTCTTAATAATCAAAGAATGTCTCTGTCTTTATATTCAGCACCACCAGTGTACAATATTGCATACATATAAAACACAAGCATACGTGCTCATATAACTGCATAAGCGCATAATTCGATCGGTAGCAAAATAGTATTTCAGCGCAAAAATAAAGAAACACAAAACGAGTGGAATAATTATTTTACGCTGCAGAAATTCATATCCTTGTAAATTGAAAAGAAAAAGCTTGGAAAAAATCGCCACTGTGGGTATTCATTACAATATCCAAGTAACAAACGTTGTAGCGCAATGGAAATGTTGGTGAAAAAAATAACATCGCAAAAAATTACACACATGCATACATAGAGCAAAGAAAAATAGTGCACAGATCAATGAATTTGAACAAAAATTTCCATTTTGCTGCGCTAAAAACGCAAACGACAACTGCCAGTGGGTTGTGCGGGGCGCGTTAAATGCGAATAGATCTGCTGTGCGGGTTCTCAAGCAATTTTGCCGCCAGCATTTATAGTTCAAACGGTGCTTGCAAATACCGGCACATATGTTTATATGTTCGTAACACACACACACACACACACACAGACAGATACACCTGCCATGCCCTTAGTTGATGCTTTGTCGCCAATTGAAATCGCTAGAATTCGCGCCCACAACTATTTCTCCACCGTTTACACGCGTTTTTTCATATGGATGCGAGCAATTTATGCAGCTTCGTTATTGGAAATTGATATTCATTTTGCTATTTTATTCTTTGCAATTCTTTCGCAATCGCTTCGCTTTTTCATCCCCGTTGCGATTGAAATTCCAATTTCACGTGTTTATGAAAATATAAATTTCTATTTTGCTGCCATTTGTCCGAGAATATTGTTGCAGACCTTATAAAAGTGTCTTTCTTTATGAGGAAGAGTTCGTTTACATAAACTCCGTGCTACAAGGGTGCTTCTTAAAATAAAGAAAAATATATTTCGTTTTATATTTTGTTTCTTTTCGAATTAGAGAACTCCATAAAATATCGAAGTATGGTACTATGAGCAAAAACTCTTTGTTCATAATTTTAAAATTCTTAAAAAGTCGTCCCCATCAAAGTAATTATCCTTCGACAATATTTCCAATTCTCGAAACAGTTGTTAAAGTCAATTTCCGGAATAGCCTTTAATGAACGTAGCTGACTCAAACGATTTCCTCGGAGCGGTCGTTTGAGTTTGCTCAATAGCCAGAAGTCGCATGGAACTAAATCAGGAGAATAGTGTAGTTGCGGCACGATATTGGTAGAAAATTTTGAGAAAAACTCCTGAAGAATTTATGCAATATGTGACGGTGCATTATAGTGGTGCAAAGACAAAGAGTTGTTCACCCATAGTTAAGGTCACTTTATGCGAATAGCTTCGCGCAATCACAGATGACACCCAAATAGTATTCGTTGTTGATAGTTTGGCCGGTCGGTAATTAATTTTTACCTGCTTTGACGCGGATTTTTCGGACTCTACTCAAATTTGTCCCGATATTTGGCTGATGGATTGTTTGTTTTCGGGTCAATAGAATGGATCTAAGAGTCATCGGCAGTAATAATACGATTCATAACATTCTGGTAGTCCTAAGGCATGGTTTCACAATCGTTAACGGGCCGCTGTTTTTCGAAAAAATTTAGTGATTTTGACTCCAAATTAGGCGCAAAAAGATTTTTAATACACTTTATGTACTTCGGAAAGACAAGCGTATACATTAATGATTATTGGGTAGTCAAAACAGTCTTTTCGAACGTTGTCAATAGATATTTTTGCAGTCGTACATCTCCAGTACTACCAATCGCATTGTGTCATACCATATAGTGTTTGACAGGTAAGATTTTAAACTTCATTTAATCAGAAAAAATTAAACTCGGGGAAGTTGAAAAAAAGTTATAGCTGTTCAAAAATGAGTGAAAATAGTGAAGAAATATATATATATTTTAAGATTTTTATATAAAATAGGGAAGAATGCCACGCACGCTATCAATGAAATTTCTGAAGTTTACGGATACGATGCTGTATCAGTTCACGTAGCCCAACAATTACTTCGCTCACTTCTGTTCTAGAATATTCGATGTGAAAGATGCACCTCGCTCTGGTCGACCTAACGTTGAATAAATCAAAATTAGGGTAAAGATTGACCAGGACCGTCACAAAACCAGTCATGACGGTTTTGAACCATTTAAAAATGGCTGGCTGCAAAAAGAAGCTCGATGTTTGGGTACCACTTGAATTGGATATGGATAATTGGATTGGAGTGGATAAAATCCGATAATAAAGAAAAATCATGGTCCAAGCGTGGTGAAGCTCAACAAATGGTCGCAAAGCCAGGACTGATGGCTCGAAAGTTTATGGTGAGTGTTTGGCGGGATTAGAAAGAAATCATCCACTATGAGCTGCTCTAGCGGTCTAATGATTAATTCTATATTTTACTGTCAACAACTGACGAGATTGAAGTTAGTAATCGAAAAAAACCAAATTAGGTGCAACGACACTTGCTCGGTGATATTTGTCGAGTGTTTGGCCAAAAGTTAACACAAAAACGTTGATAATAAATATTAAAATTCGACAAACACTACTGAGGTCGACTGACATAAACAGCTGCTGTAAACATACTGGTTGACAGAGCGCGCTAATTTTTGGCACAGTAATTTAGGACAGTTGTACCAACCTAGGAAAAGAAATTGTCTTCGATATAAGCGGGCGATGAGAGGGAGAAATTAGGCAGAATTCTGCCGTTACAACAACAACAACAACAGGGAGAAATTAGGAATTTCCGATATTTTCTTGGTTTTGTGTAAGTACAATAGCATGCGAGCTACATAAAAACTATATAGAATATACCGTTAAGCTGAAAATTTTGGATTACAGAGGCAAATGCTGAAATGCGCTTGATTTTCTTAGTGGCTGCAGAATATTTATATTTTACTCAACATTTGGCAGGATTAGTTATTTCAGGTAGCTTTTAAGCTTGAAATGTATGGAAATTCGAAAATAGTTGAGTTTGCGTTGAACAAAAAAAAAAAAAAAAAATCGCTTCAATAATAATCTCCTGCACAAATTGTGTATTAATTAAAATAAAAAAAAAAACATTATGCTTTACAACTGCAAAATTCCAAAACTCGTTGATCCCATTCCACATACATTTGTTATTATTTTATCACGAATTCAACTGTTTTGCTTTTATTCCGGCGACGTATGCTTTTCTTGCGCATGAATATGAATTTCAGATTTGCCGCGCATATATAAATACGTAAATATTTTGTGAAGCAGCAACAAGTACAACCAGTGCGCCACAATTTATACGCGTTTATGTTTTTAACCACAATTTTTATGGTTGTTTGTCTTCGTTGCAATGTTATTTTTGTTGATTGTTAGGTTGTGCTGTTATGATTTGCAGTCTAACCTTGCTGGCTCCTACATGGGTTTTGTCGGTTA